CTACATTAATGGCAAACATGGAGTGATATTTTTATTTATATTTTTTTAACTTAACATAGAGGAATGATACATTTCAAAATAGAATATTAATATTATTTGTAAGTGTATGATGTATATTTTTAAACATGCAATTTGGTTACGTGTGCATATCCAGTAATTATATGTCAAGCACACAATGGCACTCGAAGTCCGGGCCTCATTACTCGAGAATTTCATTTCGTAGGGGAAATTGTACAGCTCAGAGTCGTCTTGACGCGGTGACCTGGAACCTAACAAAGGTTTCAGCCTCAAAAAAGATATTTTAATACTAAACCAGGCCACGTGAACGTTCGCTTGATTTGCCACGACTTTTCCCGGTAGAAGTATGAAACATTTCATTACGTTTGTTAATTATCCAAAACAAACGAAACAACAAAATTTGAAATAGGTATTACAAATTTATATCGAGTTATTTCAAAAAATCGGCGGAAATCATAAAATTATCATTGTTATAAAATTTGTTCCATACTATTTTATCTATACTAATATTATAAAGCTGAAGAGTTTGTTTGTTTGTTTGTTTTTTTGAAAGCGCTAATCTCCGAAACTGCTGGTTCGAATTGAATAATTCTTTTTGTGTTGGATAGTCCAGTTATCGAGAAAGGCTGTGGGCTATATAACATCACGCTACGACCAATAGGAGCAAAGATATAGTGGTAAATGTGTAAAAAACGGGAGAAATTATTTCATCTTTGAAGCCTTCCGTTGTGTGCGCCGTGAAAACGGTTCAAGATACATAAAAAATATGTATTAAAGAATAATAGCTCTTTTAATGATCTAAAAAACATTCCGCGACAGTATATGCCTATCTTTTAAGATTAATTCACAAAAACCGTTTTTATGGTACCTAATTTTGTCGAAATGATTTGTTTAAGTTGTATCAACATAATAATATTAATCTTTATTCAAATAAACAAATAAATATGTTGTTGGTTAAAAGTACTTCATTATTAATAAAAAAAAACATAGGTTTTATCCTGAAAATTCTACGGGAACTCGACCATTCCGAAAACCCCGCAAGAACGGGAACTATGTGGGAAAAACCAAAAATCTGTCGGAAGTCACTATTCCACGCGGACGAAGCCGCGGCAAAAGCTAGTAATATATATATTTTGTGTAAATGTTCTTACGGCTCTTGATACGAGTCCTTTTGAGTTTTATAATTAATGTTACCAGAAGTAAAACTTCCTTAATATTTAGACGATCACTTACTTTCCAATAATAAAACTCAATAGCACTTAAAAGTTAAATAAAATAAAACTAATCTTTTATGTTCACGTGGGAGAACTACAAGCTAGTTCAATTTAAGACAATTTACAAATATTGCTATACTTACTTTGAGAAACAGTATTTAATCTAAACGTAACCCAAACTTAAAAACAATTATAGTGTTATTTTTTGAGTTTCATAATTCTATTAATAGTAAAAGCGAAACAATTTTTATCACAAATCAGATTTAAAGTAACGCTTACTCTAAAGTACTCAATACTTCTTTAAAGCACGCGCTTAAAATAGACTGACGTCAAAGGTTTGACCTTTGATCTATTACAACATACCGCTGATACTGAAAACGTAATAAATCGGTATATTTTTGGTTACATAATATTTTTAATATACCTATATACAATAAAATATAAAACATTAGTTCTCGGGTTGGACAAAGACTGCATTTTCCAAAAAAGTTTTTATCAACTATACTATTTAATTCGTTTCTCAAAATTCCTTACTAGATTAATATTTCCTTTTTTAAATTCATGTTTAAATATTTTTGCCCGTTATATTATAAGTTTTAAATATCAGCGCTATCAGCCGTAATGACAGATTCTAATAACTTTAATGTAATGATTAATTATTAACAAGTAATAGATAAATTTCTAAACCCTTGATATGGTTTTCACGAAAGAAATTTCCTCGAATAAGACAGAATCTTTTCATAGTTGTTTGACGTTATTTACCTTTCTTACTATAGAAGGAACACAAAAGAATTTTACCACAGATTAAGTGCTACGATAGAAATATTCAATTGAAATTTGTATTATTGTCGTTTTTGTTCCTATTGAGGCACTTAGCGTGTAACCAGAGGATAAAAATACAATTCATCTTTAGGAACATTTGATACTATTTATACTGTTGAACCGATATTAACGAAACATATCTAATTACCACCGCAAGGAAACTTTCTTTTAAACGAAAAAAATTGCTTCAAAATACTTAAAACCGTTTGAGAAAAATATGGCCAGAAACTGAAAAACACACAGAGCAACAAACATAGAGAGATTGACGAAAAAAGACTTAAAACTAATTAGTGCCTTGTTTTTTGCATCTATGATTAAAAAACGCTACTTGAATACTTATATGAAAGAGAAAATACCATATCTAGGAGTACTTGCTGTCTTATTGTATTTATATGTATCTACACTTTGGCAGAATGCGATACCTATAAACGATTTTTAGTCTTTTTAAAAATAAAAATAATGAGTAATAGACCGAGAGTTAGACAAGAGTTTAAGTCAGTGGTGGCCTAGTGGTTAAAGGGCCCGCCTCTAGTTCACGAGGGCGCGGGTTCGATCCTGGCCCGAGCAAGTACCAATGTGATTTTTCCGAGTCATATGTACTTTCTAACAATATTAAGACATCACTGATTAATGCTGAGACCCAAAAAAGGGTTGATGTCAGGCAGGCGGGCGGTCGTGAAAAACAATTAGCGAAAACTATTCACAACATGTAAGGCAGACCCTGGCTAAAGCTGGGAAATTGCCAGGTAGAAGAAGAAGAACGAGAGTTAAAACAAAAATAATTAACTTTCAAAATCAGCGGCACATATAATTTTATATGGGATATTATCAAACATTTGCAATACAATGTAAAATAATACACGTATAAGTTGAATACTTTTTAATGTAGTTGATTAAAGTTGGTAATATCAAGTCTTTAAATCCTTTTAAACAAAAGACCCTAATATCCTGTTCTATTTCCTTTGTAATTAAGAAGTCGTTACCTTTTTCATCTTTCCATTCTTACATACGTTTTTACTTGTTTATACTAACAGGTAAAGAGAACACTGTATTTAACATTTAAACTACATGTAACTACTAGTCTAGTTGTATTTTATAAACATGCTAATTACTTTAATAGTATTATATTTATACAATATTTGGTTAGTTGTTGTACAAGTTTAGTGGAAGTAATAAAGCTTTAGTTACCGTGTGCTCTCGTTTCTCCATAATTTTTTATCGTCCGGATGGCTTTACACAGAAAGTAAGCAATCATTTAGATTAGAAAAAATCTATATTGAAACACCTTGATCTCGATGAATCTCTTTGCCTCCAAAAAAAATGTTCATTTACAGTAATAGCATAGCGTGATATTGCAATTTACAAAGTGTGCTCAAAGGCTCTGAGGATATTGCATTCCAATCATTCATGCATGAAAGTTCGTTCTTGCATGAATGTACATTCTTGCAATTCATATGCATGCTGCAATCAGGGCTCCATGAAAACGTTATCTTTGGCACAACATACTCGAATACTTTTATGTGCATTTTCTAACTTATTTTTATAATTACCAACTTCACTTTTTTTTAATACATTAGTTATTTAATTTAAAGGGTTATAAAATCTGATTCTATTAAAATCTATAAAAATGTCAGTAGTTTTTGGGAAAATGCTACAGAATAAATTTCTTAAAATTACCTTAGAGAAAACTATAAATGTTAAAATATATAAACCTTTAGATCTATAGAAGTCAAAACAAGCCTAGCCATTTTAATACAATACATATTTCCATTTACCAATAATTATAATACAACTATTGTGGGGTTCATTATTATTTGCTACATCAGATTCTAATTTTCTTGATTCAGACAGTCGTATTTATACATTTCAACGTTAAATACTGTCAGGAGTCAAACACTGATATTCTCATCGGTGGATGGTCAAAGGAAATAATATTTTGCTCCACTGGATCCGTTTATATTAAAATTGATGTTTAAATTTGTGTATCAAATGCCTAAAGGTCATACGAAAATTAAAGGAAAATAAATTGTTGTTTCCTTGTCAGCATTCTTCAAATTTTTAAATGTTAAATCTTAATTTTATCATCTTTGTTACAGTAGGGACTTCTATCATTAAATCATTTAGTTATTTTTGAGACGATCTATCAATCATATATATTCCGTATTTACTTTTACATTTGTTGATATTTAGGTTTTTTTGTTAAATTAAATTGTAAAACATTAAAATTCTTACTTAAGTCGGTTAAATATTTTTGGTTCTTTTTAAACTCGTACCATCCCAGTGAATGTTAACAAGGCAGATCCTTTTCTCTTACGCTGTGAATCCTCATTAAGATTAATTATTTAATATCAGTTATAATATATTTATAAGAAATAAGACTAAGTATGAAGTTGTTTATTAAGCACTACACGTTTAGAGTAGAACATTCTATATATTTTATCTATCCTTTATAGAACTCATGATATTAATAATTGTTAAGCATTTAACGCTTTGAAAGCATCAAATAATTTGTGAAAACAGTTTTAAAGGTAAATAAAGACACCACATAATTACAACGTTTACTAAATTGAGCAAAATTATATACAGTTCCCTAAATTACTTTCAACAAATCGTTAGATAAAGAAATTACACATCAAAATGTTAACAAGAATGTTTTGTAAAATCTCCTGACAAACGAAAGCCTTACATTTTAATTTATCAGATGGCCCGTCTCTGGCCATTTAATCGTAATATCTGACACATTTCAGCTATTTTTATCTATATATAAATTCATATATTTTATACTATACAATTAAACACGCTTCCATATATTTTACATTAACAAAGAATTCGTGAAATTCTTTTTAAATTAACGAGTAACAAGAAAGTGAGTATTAACAGTGCGGAGTCTATTGAGAATATATTATTAAATATAATAGCTTACAACAAATATACATGTTTTTAAATCTATCCATAATACTGTGGTCCATGCTGATAAGAGTCAGCTCTCCTGTCTATGACCACCAAGTTCGCTGTTTTGGCTGGATGGCCGTGGTGGTAGATCCATTTTCTGCCACCGTCCACACCACTTGACTTGTGGTGGGCACCACCCTGACCGCCGTGGGAGTCTCGACCTGAAGACTGACGATGGCCCTGGAATACATTTTTAACCTCATCATTTAGCAAAATTACAATTGGCCTCAAGATAGTTCATTAGGTATGTGTCTAGGTATCTACGTAGTCTGTATTTGTTAATACATTTTTTTTTATATTTCAGTAAAATAACTTCATAGAGAAATTCTTAGTCGAACTCATGATGAATGCATAAAATTTTTCATAAAATCAGAATAAATGTTAGCTGCAAATCTATTACCTAATAAGACTATAATTTACAACGGAAGAATTGAATTTAATAAGCTATATATATGAGTAACCTTCGTTATAAGAATATATATATACAGGGTGACTGGTGAATTACTATCAATATTTAAGGAGAATACTCGGTACATGATTCTCATTCGAATTATGTAAAAAAAATAGGTACTTAATTTTTGACCAAATTTCCGTATAAATAAATAAAGCGTGGACACGTTCCAAGTGTTCCAAGCGTGAACGCGTGTGGCGGCGTGCTGATACAACACTACGCCGCCACACGTGTGTGTGTGCGTGTGTGTATACCTAATCTTTAAGGTGTTCACACGATGCGTAATTAATTACATAACTTTTGGTTAACTTTACTTAGAAGTTTATTAATATTTATGTTATATTAATTTTTATTTTGTCATATATGATCGTCAAATATCACGTCCTCAAGTATCGATAGTAATTCACCAGTCACCCTGTATATATATATAATTAAGGATTACTTTTAACTCATACCTTGTCGTGGTAACCGTGAGCTCCTTTTGAGAAGTGGCCCCTATCTCCCTTCTCACGGCCGGAATATCCCGCTTGACGGTAGCCCTTCTTGTAGTGACCACCCTTTAGACAAGAGTTATTTAATATATTATTAGAAATTATAATTTATTATATTACTTAACAAGAAAATCTTAATAAAATTATCTATATATTTAGGTTTACATCTTACTCTTTGTGAAGTAGAATTAACAAAATGAACTGGTCTGCCTAAATATATGTTCTGTTATATTTGTTAAATTATTTTATTTAAAGTATATTCATAATAAAATCATAAAAATAAATAAACCATTTGCTTTTCATATTCTTTTCCGTGTCATTAAGGTTCATTATTGTTTATTTTAAGAGACATTTCAATTTCTTTGCATCATTATTGTTCAAGTGAAAACGTTATAATGGTTTTTTCGAAACTAAAGTTGAATATTCTTAGTACAAGTTGGCATTGTCACACTATGTACGGAGAGTAAATAGTTTTTATAATAGTCTTGACGAATATTATTGAGTTAAAAATGGGAAACGCTTCATATGTTATATGACTATATTAATTTAAGCTATGATGGTTGATGGGTTGATGTCAGGCAGGCGGCCGGTCGTAAAAAAAATTAGCCAAAACTATTCACAACATGTAAGGCAGACCCTGGTTAAAGCTGGGAAATTGCCAGGTAGAAGAAGATTAATTTAAGCTATGAATACTAAACTTAAATATTCTATGTATAATAATGGATATAAAACTAAAATATGAAATAAAAACGAAATATTTTTAGTTTTCAATTAGCAGCAGCTGTGGATAATTGTTGTTGACCGTATTCCATTGGAGCATAACCGAAGTAAACAAAAACTTAATTTAGCATTAACCTTCAATGCAACACAAATCATTTCATTATTAGAAACACGATGAGCGTCTGATATTGAATGTTATGAAACTATTTTTATTTATTTTGACGCAAACAAAATATTTCTGAATAGAGACAATATAATCCTTTACTTAAACATTACTTTTATGCTATTAATGTATAATTTCTTATTCCTTTCACTTATTTTTTGTTATAAGTGAGAAAAACGATAAATAATTTACATCTTTATAAACTTTTTTCCCAATAATATTAAAAGTATTTGTCACGAAAATAAAATAAAAAGCTGTCCGCCTTTTCGCCGTCAAGTTTCAAACCTCTTTAAGTCTAAATAAAGATTTCACCTACAGAATACTTATAAAAACATTACTCTATTTCTTTTATTCTATTAAGTTTTATAAAATTATATGTCACGGACGTTTGAAAACCACACAAATGTTTGCTCAAAGCAAGCAATTTCTAGCTTTACGGCAGAAGGTCTACTTTACTGATGCCTTAGAAATACATATCAAAACATAAAAATGTTTATGTTTTATTAAAATATAAACTTAGAAATGACGTCTGTAGCAAATAGAAAAACGTTCCCTTACTCTCATTTATATTTAAAGTTGTTATATTTTCAAATACTTCCAAGATTCAAATCCCTAGCGTAAATAAAACTTAAGTGAAAAAAATCTTCACAAGTACACGTTACTTCCATTACCGCTAATCGTTATTGATAGTACTTATATTTTTGTCCCAAAAATAATTCATCGACTGTATGAAAACTCATCGAAATAGGATTATTCATATAATCATAATATTGCTAACACATACTGATGAATAGGTTATGAATTTTTTGATTAAATTGTTTCAAAATTTATAGGAAACTAATATTTTTCGGATTATACTACGCGACTTTAATGCGCTCACGGTCCTGCGGTATGGTCACGGTTGCTGAAAAGTAGCCGAAACGTCGAGAGTATATAGTTTTTTACAAAAATAAAGTCGCGTAGTATAATTCGAAAAATATTAGTTTCATTTAAGTGAATAGAACTCGCGAAAATTTTAGATGTTATTATCGTTTCAATATTGTATGTTCATTTTACCGATGCACGTTCCCTCTCTTTGTGGTGGCCGCCGTCGACTTCATCTTCGAAGGCATCACCTTCTTCTTCAAAGAATTCGACTTTCTTTTCATATTCGTCTTTCTTGTGGATGTCGTGGCTGCCCTTCGTGCTGTGGCCTTTCGAATGCTTACCTGATTCTTCGTACTGAACACGACAAGAAAATAATATCAATACATAAGTTTTAATAGTAAGAAAGTTGTATAAATATATAAGTTCTATTTTCATACCTCTTAAAGGAACACGATGTTTCAATGGAGTGTTTATTAAAAAATGTATTTATAGTATGCGTTTGCATAATAAGAAGCGATATTAAAGTAAAAAATTACACCTAAGCGTTTAAATTCCCTTATGTCCAACGAGTTTTAGAAATCTTGTGGCCTAAAGTTAATTGAATCTGTTTAATGCAGTATTAGAACAATACCTTCGCATGTTTTTTGCCCGTTTCTTCGTGGTGGTGGGAGCCATAATGCTTCTTCTCATCGTGGTGCTTCTTTTCAATCTCCCCGTGATCGTCGTATTTGTCCAAATGGTCTTTCTCGTCGTGGTGTCCCTTATTTGTTTTGATTTCTTTATGAACTCCCTTTAGGAAAAAAGTATTAATAATGTTTGATGTTTATTATAGTGTATATTTAATAAGCAAAATTTTTATTCATATAATTATTTTATGCATATGAATATAATATGTGTAATTTTTTTTTTACAGTCATAATTCATCTAAGAATTCACTTTTCAATGGTAGGATGATGGATTTCTTTTTACATGGTAGATATAATTCCTAAAACTATACTAGTTAAATTTAAATACAAATATTTACAGTTCTGTTAATATAATCTCCGTTGTTCCATTAAATGCTCGCCTTTCTCAATGTTAGTTAAAATGAATGGTTTTGTGAACACGGTCCAATCATCTGTGTTGAGAGCAGTTTAAACCTTACTAAGAATGATACTTGTAGATTTATTAGACCTATAACTTATAAATACAAATTCACAGAAAGTTCTCTAAATACAAACTTTTATTGAATAGCCTTTCAAGTTAAAAATATCCGATAATGTGAAAAATCACTCTCAAAATATAAGTTTTATTTTCGTAATACAGAGTGGCTTTGTAAAGGTTATATAAAGTTTTGAAAAATATTTTGATATCACTCTTAGAAAATCAGCATATAATGACATAAAAGATTTTTTGAATCTTAAGTGATGTTTAAATTCTAATATGTACAAAAGACCTGACTTGGGTATAAACAAGTTACCACAACTGTATTGTATTTATGTACAAAATCTTTGTTTGTATAAATTAATTGTCTTGGAATGTTTTTTTTTTCACAATTATTATTGACCGTCTATTGTTTTATAATGACAAACACGTCACACATTTATTAGAACACGGACAGACAATGTAACTGTTAATAAACATTTATTGTATACGAAAAATAAACAATTAAACAATCATAACATTTATTATATGAATTAAAACAATGACTACATTCGCACGGCATTGTCCTGTAAGAATTATGATTCGTTTCAAAAAGATAAAACTAAAAAATATCATTTTAAGTTATATTTTTATTTGAGAATAGTTTCTTAGATTATCAGGACAAAGTCATGACTCTTATAGACGATTATAAGAACGTAAATGACTCTGTTAGTGACTTCACGCAACTTACGTCCATTGTATAACAATAGTACCAGTGCTTTAACTGTTGTGGCTGCGGGCTTTGTTGGTCGTTTTCTTGGACGTTTCCCGACTTGCCCGTGTCCTTTTGTATATACGTTTTTAAACACGTTTATTTGACTTATTAAAGCAGATTTACAACAAACAAAACAACATTTACATATCATGTATATATGAAAATAATCTGAAATATAGTTATTTTTGAGCACGTTTTATAGAAAATATACGTCCTAAAAGTATGTACAATGTACACCACAACCGTACTGCATATTAATATCGGATGCAATCATGTCCCATTCAAAAGGTTTCGCCAGCCAGTTTTCAATATAAACCCAATAACACACTTGATATCTTGATTTTTCCAATAACATCGCATATTTGATTTACGAGCTACCCTATTTTATTAGTACAGTTGTGTTTTGAATATTATTACAACATTGATTTTGTACTTTAATTAAAATTAAAAGACTAGAATTCAAAAAATTCAGCTACATAAATAGGATAAGAACCTGCAACTTATTTACTAGATGATTTGGAAATTGAGCTATAGTGCCACCGTTTTATCTATTTCAAATTATTATTTATTTAAACAATTAATGATAAAAAATTCAGTGATGATTAAATTAAAATTATTAAATAATATCAGCCAAGATTGAGTAAAAAATGTATTAATAACGAATTGTAATATTTTATTTGTGAATATAAGAAGATAAATTTTAAGCACTTGAAATAATAGCACTAGAAAGATATAAAGTACTTAAAGATTGGATATGTTTGAATAAGAGAAACGTTCTCAAGTAAAGCCAAAATATCATAAAATCAATATAATTAACTGCGTCTTGTTTGACATTATAAGCTACTATCCAATACTACTGAACAGTAATCGTAATTCCCTGTAGACGTAATTCCTAGTAGTAATTCCTGTTTTCGTTATTTATTAAATAATTCTTATTATTATTTCATTATAATTCTTTCATAAACACATCACAAAGTCGTACGTACCTCATAGGCCTTTCTCCCGTGCTCTTCATGACTTTCCTCGTGTTTTGAATGATGTTCTTTCCCTTTTCCTGAAAAAATAAACAATACGTTATCACTTTTTTAAAAACACTTTATTTAGTAAGAAAGCAAGATATGAAAAATAAATGTATTTTTCAATATTTTTGTTTTTCAATTCTTACAAGTTGAAAGAAGCTTATAATATGTTTAATTTAAATAAAAGTAATAATATGTAAATATAGATCACTCTTAATTATTATCAGAAACAAGGAAGTAACATTATTTTAAGATTTTTATTCTATCTCGTAAAGGTTAAAGATACAACCCTATAATGACAAACTTATATCATACTTTTTAATTTATTTCTATATTTTTTTGAGTTAAATCATAAAGACTATTCTGTCGATTGTAGCATATTGACTGGTTTCCAACTAATTAATTGAGAAAAGAAATGCGGTTTGAATATTTATAAAGCAGAAAATAAATGGTTTTATTACACCACAATGCAAGTAAAATTTTTTCAAATTGTAGACATTAGAGTGAATTTCATTATTGAAAATTTAATTTGAAAGTGAAGTAGAATAAAAAGATATGTATTATATATCATAGAAAAATGCTCAAAGATCGGTTAATGCCATTGAAAATTTGTCTTAGCTACTCTGCTGAGTACCATGCACTCTACTGTAATCGACATGCGAAAGGTGGTCGAAAAATTTCATCTTAATTAAACGTAATAAAACGAATAAGCCTTCTCGTACTGGAATGCAGTTCACGAATCGATTTTTACAGTTTAAGACACTTTAATACTTTTACCATAACAACTTTCTATTTTAACTATGACTATTTTCTATTCTCGACAAGTATTCATAACTTCGTTTCCATGGTGCTTATCCATGGTGACTTCATTTCATTTATAAGCATTTAAATTCAATAAACTGTGTTAGAAATATTGTTATAATAATTTTCATAAAACTTTTGTATCAATTTAACGAGACGAATTTCGTTTAAAATGTCATATTTGGTTATAAAAAAACCTATGAAAGTAATTATTATATCAAACTGTTTTAGAAATGGACAATGCGCTGGCCGCGTTGAAAAGAGTAGTAATTGTACGTTTATATTCTGCAATCTTTCATGATTTTAATTCTCAATAATGAAAATCAATCACGATTTCCTTAGTAACTTCATAATTACAAATTAAAAGTTTATAAAGCAGATGAAATAAAACTAAAAATACATATAATTACGATCCCTTTGTAACGATGTCACCTGAGCGTGAAGTGGTACAAAGCATGTAAATTGCTCAATAAGATAACTTTATGTAATTTATAATAGAACAAGTCTAGAATGTTTTGTTTATTTATTTATTTCTAGTACATTTCAATCAATTCTTTAGATGAGTTTGACTTGATTGAGACGTATTTATAACGATAAATTTTATATCATTTTATTTTTATTCCATGCTACATTTAAAATTAATTGAAAAGTTTGTACCAGTAATTATTAAATTAATATTTCAATTCAATATAATATTTTACTTAGCTTTTTTTGGGTATAATAAAATAACTTCTATTTTTAACATACTTTTAACATATTGTTTTAAAATCGAGTCCAACTATTAAAGTAAATAGAATTCAACACAAGAAATGAGTTATTTAACGAAGGATTTTTCTTAAATAAAACGCTTGTTATAGCTCTTACAAAATAAAGTGAACGCGATTGTAAAAGAAAGTAAAAGTAAATAGTCTTTGTGGTGTGACATCTTAGAAATAAATTACGCTACAGTTACAAGATAATAATTATTAACGCACGTAAATAGACGTATCGGTTTTTAATTCGCAATCTCGAAAATAAAGAACACAAATTTCACGCTCAGTTTATTGAGTAAATATTTCGTGAATTCAATATTATTTTTGTATTATTTCATTGACTTAATCATTTTGAAGATTATAATTTATTGTAAAATGTTTAAACAAATAAGCTTTTTTAATATTTTCATGCATTAATTAAGTTTGAAAGTATTGCGATCCTCAACATTGATCAACCGTTCTTGCAACCGCATCAAAATCTGACCTGATTTTTTTAAATAAATTAAATTTTTATTGTGATTAAAATTGAAGCAGCTAAAGTATATTCAAAGTAAATTTTCTTGGAATAGCACAATAACAAAAACGTACAGTCGTTGTTAAAAGGAAACAAATTCTTTAAAGTAAAAGGAAAGGAAAATGAAATTCATTGAAATCGAATTAATACATTCGGAGAAAAATTCTATTTCTTAAAAATTATCTTAAATTTATCACAAAGAAAGTAAATAGACAGACATATATTTTAATACATCATTATAAAATTGAGAGAAATATTAATAACGGTATCTCAAACCGTAAAATTGTATATACCTAATTATGTTATGGATTGAATATGAATACAAGCATCAAAATAACATTTTTTTTTTCACTAAGCAAAATAACAAAACTAATTTCGGAAAGATTTCTTTTGTATTTTCACTTTAACCTATCCTTGATCTTGCGGTTCCTTTCTAAAAAGTAATTTTTGAAGTAAATGTTGTTGCAAATGAGAAATGCAGATTTATTTCAAATATTATTGCAATGAATAAAAAAAGTGTAATAAAAAAACAAATTAATTTACTTTAGATAAAATTGAAATACGAAACAAGTGACTACAATTCTAGAAGTCTAGCCTACAAGACTACAATATCATTTAAATATTTCCCAAATTAGGTAGCTAATGATGAAAATTAAATATAACAAAATAACTATATTTTTCCGGTACTTGATAATCCAATTAGAGATGAAGAACTAACAACGTTAAAACATTCCCAAAGCCATATTTAAAGGAAATAATATTTCTCTATATTTTAAATTTTTAAGTTGTTGAAAATAAATTTGGCGACAGTATTATTTTTATAATTTAGACTTAATACCCTTGAGTGTATTTGCTACGTTTTCAGTTTCTGCAAACTATTTTCATAGATAGTAATCCTTCGAATATATTTATGTTCAATTTCAAAAGTACACTGTATACTTATTATGTTGGCATATACAAAACTCATAAATACGTTAAAGGAAAATTTTATAAACTTTATTTAACTATTTTATGCATATATTTTATATTTTCTTTGATAATTTTAAATGTATATATTTTTTATAAACATCTTATGGAACTTAATAAATTTTTACGTCGATTTTAAACTTTTTTGATAACTGTTATTTAAAAAAAATATATTTACAACATTTCCAAGTGGTCGACTTTTATAGAACAATTTTGATATTCTATTTAAAATATTTTAATAACAATATATTTTATAACGCTTACGAAGAAATAAAGCAAGCAGAAACAAGGCAACCTTAAACAGTATAAAGATATTTAAGCATTTTAAATCTAGTAAATTAGTGAAAGTTAAATATCTGAAATAGTTTCTGTGACTTATATAATAAATTATTATGAGAATGCAGGAAAACAGCCATTCCATCTAATAGTATTATTTGAAAGAATGAATTTATTAAAAAAACAAGCATAAATATGAAATTGAGGTTTTCCATTTCTTTTGATACAATTTTGTAAAGTGCCCCTTATTATATTGAAGATACGAATAAAGGGATGAAATAAATTGAGGATAAAGAGATCACATCCCACATGCAAACAGGAAATATTTTTAGAAAGATAATATATGCTTTCATTATTTATGCATTATTTATATACGAGTATTTTTGGACAGTTCATAAATAATTGTAAAAACGTTATCTTATAGTGTTTTATAAGCGTTTACAGTAAATGTATAACTCACCTGATTCAACATCATAGTTTTGGTTCTTTACAGCTTCTTTTTTCGCCATTTCATCCGAGGGTGATGACTTGAGGTCCTGCTCTGTTGCTGAAGGACCGGTGTCTATTTCTGTCGGGACTGATGTGAAGGCTGTTGACCCTAGACTTTGAGAGGCTGAAGAATCAGCATCCTGAGCTGATGGTGACGTGAGAGTAGATGACGTTGATGGTGCCGTGGTATCAAAACTAGTAGTCAAACTAATATTTCTATCGTCACTTGTAAATGTATCTGGAGCGTTAGTAGTCTTTATCCCTGACTTCCGTATATTTTTCACTTTCGGAAAAAACAAAGTCGGTTCCCCTTCTTTAGACTCATCCTCAGGTACAAGTGATATTCTCACATTATCTTCTTCTGGAGGAGCAGAGTATTTTGATGAATATATTTTGGGCTTGGACGTAGTTAATTTAATAGTTTTAGTAGAGGTCCTTGTTGCTGTAGTCGTAATTTCATCTTCATCGTCATTAATCATGTATAAATGTGGGTTTCTAAAGACAGACAATTTACCTGTAACAGTTTTAACTTTCTTGGGTTTGGCCTTTGCAGTTGGCTCTACAGATACTGACTTCCAGTGATTTATTTTGTACTTATCTTTGAGTTCTGGCTCTTGATCTTCATATTCATCATTATAATCTGTAGTTACTTTCTTCCATTTGGATCCAATATGATCATATTTACCAATGTTTGGGTGAGCTTTTATTCTATCTCTTTCAATTTCTTCTTTATGTATTTCCTCTTCTTTGGCCTTCTCTGATATAGCTCGTTGTTCCTGCGCATGCTTTTCCTTAAGTTCGTCGACACTTTGGAGTATTTTTATCTTTTTCGCTTCGTTTTCTCGTTGTTCGTCTTCCTTGATTGTATCAGGTTTTTGTTTTTCAGATATACTGTCTTCATAATCAATATCATCTTCATACCTATGTTGTTTCTGTTTTTTTGTTTTAGGTTCACCTTTCTTACCTTCCTCACTATCTTTTTCATTGTCAGATAAATCGTCATCAGATATATCTTCACCATACTCACGCTTTATCTTATCTTTATTTTTAACCTTACCTTTTTTGGTTTTACCTTTTTTATTCCTGGAATTTTTCTCAATAGGGTTTTCAACGGGTTTTGTAATGATATTTATTATTCCATCTATATCCGATAGATTAGCAGGATTTAGAGGGGTGTTTGCATCTACTGCTTGAACGGGTCTATGTAAGTCCGACCACTCCCTCTTCTCGTAATAATCTTCATTATCACTTTCTCCTTGGCCCTTATCATAATAATCGTCGCCTTCTGGCTCAGCGACTGCCCTGAGAATAAAATTCACTGGTAGAGCCAGCCTCTTCTTCGGCTTAGCTCTCACTTGAATCAATTCTTTTAATTCACCTCCTTCCGTATTCTTCAACTGCGCCCACTCAGGATTAAAATTATTTTCAACATCTCTTTTAACATTTCTCGGAACTCCTATACTGAGTGAGTCGCAGGAAACAAAAATTAAAATTAAAATAAGAAGCGACATATTGATGTGAAAAAATGTTCATAGTATCATAACTCGGCAACGTGTTAGTAAACACTTTTTGAATGGACTGGTCGACAGCGCGACGCAGACTGTTCACACCGCTTTGGCTACAATTATTTATATTGTTTGGAAAGCTATTCTCTTCGGTCTCAGGTTTCGATCGATGTTAGTATAGGGTGGATCAATATTAATAATGATTTTTACATATTTATTTAATATGTGATGTAATTTCAAATAAACAGTTTAATATTCTTGATCTCTATTGAATCAAATTATTACTTGCTCTGAAGAATTTATCAAATTGAGTGTATTCAATTTGAAAGAAATGTTATTAATGAATAATAAAAATAATTAAATACTAATGAAAACGCAATTAATTGTGTCCGTAAATTAGTAATATTTTTATGATATTTTTTGTCAAATTTATAGTTAAGTAATAGTTCTAAGTAATTGTAGTAGTTTAATTAATAGTATGTAGATTACGTCGTCAAACGTACAACGACATTAGTGCATAGTAAAACTCAAACGAGGTTATGTTGGCGCTTTTAATAGTGTGTTATTGTTGTATATATGTATTTTTGTATATATGTATTAATTTTTAATATAAATAAAAAATTATTTAGTGTAAATGACAATATTGTAGAATATCCTCATTATTACTTCGTGTTGACGTCTATTGCTATCAAATTGCAACTTATACAGGGGTGAAGAGCTCTACATTTATTCGTTTTTTCGGTCCATGCATTTTTTTTGTTTTTCAGCAATACAAAGAAATATGCAAATGATTCATCTGAATAATTTTCAAATGCAATAATAACGATTATTTTAATTTCTCAATATTATCTGTAAATAAAACTGCACTGAACTGCAAAATAATTTCAAGACGAATTAATTTTTTGTTTATTAGAAAACATTCAAGGTGACAATGAGTCCAGTGCAATCTTCAATTAAGTGTCGAAAGTATAATTATAACGTCCCATTTGATTGTTTAAATGTCTGTATTGTAAATTAAACTAACACCAATGACGGCATCTCTAAACCTTACCTCTGTGGCATAACGTTTAAATGAAATAATTTGTTACTAAGAATAATCTGATTTATAATTATATTTATTGATACACATATAATAACTTTTTTATCCATTTGCGGGTTATTTACGTAGTTAGCATTGTTAAGCTTAATTATTAAAATTTTATATAAAAAAGACACTTAAAATTTTTCAAAAAATACTTAACAATAATTTTTGATAATTAAATGTGACAGTAAGGCATTTTTAGCAATATACATAATCATTAATCACTAATATACTGATAGTCACCGGTGAAGGGCAACATCGCGAGGGAACCTGGACTTATAAAATATCTTGACCAAGCGTGGTGATTAATGGTCAAATCTTCTCCTTGTGAGGAGAGGCCTTTGCGCAGCAGTGGGCTCTGATAGGCTGATGATGATGATGATGACTGATAGTCCATAACTATTACAAATTCGTAACGTAGAAAAATAGTCATATAAATTTATTTAGTACTCTAAATTCTTTGGCCAAACATGTTTCAAAATGGTTATTTTGATAATTTAATGAAGTTTGTAATATTTAAAATAATATTACTGTGTATTTATTTAGCTGATTGCGTTCTTTGACTCGTAACGTGTGGTTTGAAACGCTTTGTTGATTTTATTGTCATACATAAAATATATCTCATAGAATTAACGCTTAATTATTTGTGTTTATTTTACATTAGGAAATAACATGATATTTTTCTATAATAAAATACATTTTAAGTTTACATACAAGAAAGCATAGAAATAATAATTTTGACAACAATTAACAATGTATTTTTTGCTCATAAGCTTATTTTAAAATATCATTTATAAGTTATTGTAAGAGAAGTGCTGTTCTATATTTAATGAGGCAGTAGATACAGTTTCATTGTACCCAAAATACAATATAAATATTCAACAATTTTTTCATTATAAATGCAATTTTAAATTCAATTTTAATATTTTTTTTAATTGCTAAAATTAAAACATGATGTAAAAGTTTCTTTATTAAAATAAAAATATATATTAAATAAAACTATTATGTATTAAGGTTATGTGTTAAACGGTATGTAATGTTTAACAGTATTGTAACTTCATTTTGAAAATGTTGACATTGTAACAGTTCGAGATTGTTACTTGAATAATTATATTTAAATATATTGTAAGTAAATACGATTTTGGAAATTGTTACTATAACCTTTTGGTAAATTTGATGTATGTCGAAAAGTCACAAGTATGTATGTATATGTAGTTATTTGACCACGCACGTAGAGAAGAGAAGTAGAGTTGAACTTATTTAAATACTAATACCCTATGTTTATTTTTTATATCTAGGTATATGCAAACAGTATTTAAGTTAATTTCATATGATTAATTTATTACAGCTTTACAGAATTTAAATAAAACAAACTACTTATAATAACAGTATAATAAAACAAATAAAAACCATCATATTTCCTAGATGTCACTATGCGAACATTTTTGGCGAATATATTCCTTTTGATTTTTAAATTATTGTTTTAAGCGAGGATTCTTATACAGTAAGTAGTGAAGTGCTATTTAAATGCAAAAATTAAATTATGTACTGTGGCATTCGACTCTTTAATTAATTTTACTTCTAAGCTTGACCAGACTTATGGTGTTAAGTATTTCCAAGATTTCCCCGCTCTGGGATTGTTATCCCTTTTTAGTATGTCTGTCAGACAAAGCTTAGAAAATACTTGTGAACAATTTACACTTGGGGTTATAATATGTTGACTCCAAATAATTTTTAAACTATAAGCTAAATATTTTCGTTTCATCTGATTCTCAGTAAAGTAGAGGAAATATTATAAATTAGTTTTAGAGTGTAAATTCTTTTATAAAAATATATTATTTGAATGTCATGTACCTGGTAAGAAATATTACAAGGCAGCCAAACATTTAACATATTTTTATAGAATTACTTTATATAATAAACCAATATACACGATATCAGCAACTTTAAAGTTCTTAGTGTCTATTCGCAATTATTCATTCACAAATCCCTTTTTACATAGCTCGTATAATATTGACACATGATATTGGTGGAAACTATAAGGAAAAGCGGCTAACTGAGAGAGAGAGAGAACCTCTGTACCATGTACATATACGTTTTTACTGTATTATTATTTTTAACTATTAATATGAAACATCCAGCAGTCAGCTTCGAAGCAATTTTAGATAAGGTATGATGATAACCAGTAATAGGGACTCTCCATCGGCAGAGGCCTATAGAGAAAGATTGTAATTTATAGCATTCATGATCGACATTGGCTTAGTCAGGATTAGTTCAATTTTAATGCATCTTAAATTGAAATACAATTAGTTTAAGCTAGAGATATATGTTATTTTGGGTTAAATCCGACATGATTATTCAAACACAAATTATTTAAAACAACGAGAAAGCAAAGAAAATTAATTTAAACTTATTTAATACTGAGGGTGTTGTTTAATATAGCTAAACTAATTGTAGAGAATTAATTAACTCTTTATGAAAAAACTGACAACGGTCACAAACTGAACTATGAATGAATGCTGCAATTGTCATTGTAATATTTCCTAAAATCTGTTCAACATACGGACAAAAATGTTCCTACTGTTTAAAATGTCCATAAACAATATGTCTGAAAAATGTTATACATATTCCATATCCTTTAGTATATTTATTACTAAGTTGAAACTACATATAATAAATAACTTTTTCTATATGTTTGCTCTTTATAATTTAATACTTATGGCTCCTTTAATGTTCTACGAAGACGAGAACAACTTACATGGAACTTACGATATCGTTTATATAATTGGTTGAATTATATACGAAATCAGAGTAATATGATTTCTCAATCTGCAGACTTGCATTAGTCCGGCAGCTAGGTGTTCATCACCTATTTTCCGTTTTATGAATAAAGAGTGATTAAAACAGAACAAAAAATAATAAGAGTGGCCAAATGAAACCAAGAACCATGTTATTCAGGAGTTTTCTCTGCAAAAGATTACTTTAAAATGACTACTTAGACACAATAATTGCGTTAGTAAAATATCTACGAAGGTTACGCCTACGGATGGTCAAATTTAAATAATCCCATAATTTTAATATGTTTCATTTTTGTTACATATTTTCATAACAGTTTTGTTAAGTAGACAAGGCAATTAAAAGTCCGAAACCTTATCTATATGGAATATCCGTCAAATTTATTTTTAATTTGTACAAATTAGAATATGGTAATGAAAAAACTTTTTACAATTCTTTAACACCTCGACAGAAACAAATGACAATTTGATGTGAGTGACGTGAAAGAATTTATTCTAATTTATAAAATCTTCATAATCCTTCAGATCTTGAAATAATTTGTAAGGATATTTTAGATGCATGTTATTAAATGAGGGTCGGGATGATTTTGAAAATTCTCTTTAATTTTAGACTATGAAGATTCACCCAGCATTAATACTTAATGAAAAATAATCGTTACGGCTTATACTAAGATTTTCACGAGAATTGTTTAATATTTTCTATCAGGTTTTCGTAAAATAATATCATTACATACATATATGTACTGTTTATTTATTTTATTAAAATTTCATACAATTTTGGATAAATAGTTTAGGTTTTACTTATATATTAGTTTTATTCATGAAAATTATAGCTCCAAATATAATTACTGTGGATATATGTCAGTAATTATCCTCGAGATTAGTGGACTTTGTTTGAGTCAATACTATTTCTTGACCCGTCAAGAATCTAATTAACCGGAGGCTAATGTGTGATTGTGTTTAACGAAGAGGATATCTTAATAGATTTATTGGATCACAGACAAAGCTCTAGTTAACCAAAATAATCCTCGGAGAAAGCAGTTAATATTAGAGATAAATCTGAAAGTAATAAGTAATTCAGTTCCGGAAACCAATGCGTATTCATATATTTCATAATATCCAACATCATA